TCATAAACAACCTGATTTCCAGCAGGCGATGTACGAGGCACGCGGGCACCGAAGCTCACAGGCAAAACACATCGCGTTATTTTGCTATGAATATGTGTCACATAGAATCCAGCGTAAATCGGGGTGGAGCCGCTGCTTTGGATGACAATTTTAACTTCGCGAGATGACTTCGGTTCGCTGCTATAAAACAGATAGTTTGGGGTCGTGAGGAATGCTGGTGAACTGTCGTTGAAATCTGTTGTGAAGGTTACACGCCGCTGGATACGCCCATTTAAGTCCATTAAATAGATTTCGCCGTTGTCGAGTCGAAACGATGCGAAGGCAATTTGTGTGCCGTCCGGCGAGAAGGTGGGTGAATAGTTATCTGAATCACCACGGGTCAACTGCTTTGTATGATAACTGTCTCCAACGAGTTCGATGATTTTGCGTAGGACTTCGGGATCCAGAGTGCTGCGTTGAATGAGTCGGAGCACGCGGAAGGCGGAGTTTCTATCACCGAATCTTAGATAGGTACGTGCCAATTCAATTCGTGCGGCAATCCGTTCTTCCGGTTGTGCGGCATAAAGTTGTGAAGCCTTTTGTAGCTCCATAACCGCGTCGGTGTAACGTCCCAGGTCATTGTAGGCTTTTCCCAATAACATTCGTGCCTTCGGATCCTCAGGTGCCGTTTCGATAAAAGCCTCCAGTCCTTCCACTGCTGCTTGTGGCGTTCCAGCATTCAGAAGTTCTTCACTCTTTTCGAGAACTGTCGTATTATCTTGGCACCCGGTCACTAAGACAACGAGAAGGATGCTACATTGAACTATTAAAGCACAATTCAGTTGAGTCTTACACTTGGTTTCCATGAACATATCGCGCCAGTCTATCGTTTGTGGCTGCGTCTTGATTTTTTAGCGCAGCGCGTTACTCCGTATTGGCTATCAGCTTTCAGAGGAATGACTGTTGACTATCTTTCTGACCGCTGACGGCTGATGGCTGATGGCTATCTTGCTATTGGCGTTTTCTGGTTCTACGCCTGCCTCTCCACCCATTGCCAACTGCGTAGAGCCAACATAAAATGCCTTGGACGGACGCACTTATTTTCAGTTTCCAAGAGGGACGGTACATCAGCTTTTCGCCATCGTCGAACGTCCAGATGTGCATTGAATAAGGCTCCTGTGCTTCAGAGTCCTCTGCCTTGTCTGTTGAGGTGTTCTCCTTCACCGCAGGTTTGAACCGCATTAAATCACGCCATTCTGTTACCGGCAGTGAATTCAGGTAGAAAACACCAATTGCAGAAGCAAAAATGGCAAAAAGGACAATCGCTTTTGGAAATTGCCCTAAGTACAGTTGACCGAGTCCTGGAAGAATCGCCGACAGGACCATCGCAACGAAAGAACGGGCAGCAGATTTACCTTCCGCACCTCCAGAATTGCTGGCGGCAACGCGCGTGTTTGCGGGTTCTACCATTGATTAAGACTCCCCTTGTGCCACAAGGTAGACCCCGATACAGATGATCAGAGCACCTACTATACGAATCTTAGGGACAGATTCCTTGAACAACATCCAAGAAAACAGGATTGACAATACATACCCAGAACTTAACATCGGATACGCAACACTCAGTTTAACACGTGACAGGATAATCAGCCAGACGAGCGTTGTGAAGCCATATATCGCAATCCCACTGAGGATATAAGGGTTCAGGAACGCCTGTGCCAATTTGCCCGTAGCGTCTCGTAGGCTATTGATGCGACCGATCGTGTTCATGCCGTGTTTAAACAAAATCTGTCCTATTACCGTTAGTAAAACGTTGAAGAATAGCAGTAAAAAATCTTTCATGACTTTATTATACCACACCTCTACTCTTTTTATTACAATTTTTAAGGGGCGCATTTCGGAGGCATTCAGTTTTTATAGGTTATAGAGATACGTTGCTTTAATGACAATGACACGGTTTTCCAGTTGTAACTCGCGACCGGAGGCTGTCCCAACAGGAGCATCGCCCCAAGCCTCGTTATATGCAACGAAAAGGTGACTCTTCGGGCTATATTCCCATCCAAATAGAAAACTTAGCAGATACGTCTGGTGAATTTCCATAGAAAGTGGACGTTCCCTACTGGCTTGTGCGAACATTCGGAGAAACGACTCTCGCGTGAACAAGTAAGTCGTACGCAATGAACTGACGAAAAACCTGCCATCAATTGCCCCTTCCAAATCAAAACTCTGCGCGTAGCCGCTGTCTAATTCTATGGAGAAATTGCCCTGTGGATGGATAGTGGACTCAAGCGTAAGACTCCGCTGTTTGCCCGCTTGTTGTCGTCCAAAGTTAAAATAGTCCGCGAAATCCACGCCGATACCGATAGCAATCGGGTTTGTAGGATCAGTATCAATCGAAAACCCGTATCTGTCTGCCGTGAATACTTCAGTGAGCTCAACTTCCCGACTTCGGTCATAGTAGGCGGTAATGTCGTCCAAGAGAATTTCTCTGAAATCCATCCCGACATTTCCACCAACACTCCATCTGAACAGGTCTTCATCGAAATCAGGCGAGAGGGACAACTCTGGGTTACGTTCTCGCCACTCCGCAAAATATACGGGTGTATAAAGGCTTTGAGAGAGACGAGCGGTTATACCAGAAAAAAACTGGTGCTTGCCCCAGTGTGGAGAATAGGAAGTCCGCATATAGGCACGTTGCCAGCCACGGTTTTGTTCTTTTCGTAGAAATCCCGTCTGATTGATTTCAAAGTGCGGTGCGACCCCTTCAAATCCGATGTCGCTGCTCCAGAGATAGTTGCGCTGCGCGAAGTCAATCGTATACGCAAAGTTATCACTGTCTTCGCCCGGATGGAAACTACCAGCGTATTGTCCCGTGAGATGATAAGTTTTGCCCAAAGCAAGGTTCATATCAATGCCACCCACTCGGCTATGACTCCATCTTTCACTACCGGGTTGTTCCTTGTTCACGAATAGGAGCCCAATGTTTGAACGTTTGAGGATGTCGCGTTTAACACGGATTGCAGAAAACCATGCTTCCTCCTTTTCGGACGGAGTACTATCAGAAAACCTGAATTCACCGGTTTGATTGCCCAATACTCCGATAGAGTAATCGCCGACTTTTCCTGTAAGTTTACTACCCCAGAGGATATTACCGCGACTCCCGATACGGCGGCTGAACATCAGGTCGTATGGGGTTTCAAAAAAACTGTTGCCTTCAACAAAAAACGGACGTTTTTCAGGAAAACGCGTCGGAAATCGGGTCAGATTAATCTCCAGTTGGTCTGCTTCAACTTGTGCAAAGTCGGGATTAACGGTAACGTTCGCCTTTAGCGCACTCGTGAGGCTGTATTGCACATCCAAACCTGTCCCGATTTGGCGCGTCAAATTGGCATCGGCAGCACCCATACCGCCACCTAAAAGATAGGGTGAGATTTCAAAGTTTTTCCCCGTTTCAATATCGTGCATACCTACGATGTGTCCCTAAATCAGACATCCGCGTGACGACCCCTGCTTGGGTCAACTGTTTCCACACTGTAACCTCGCTTTTCCGGCGGTTTACCCGCTCCACATCAAACCCCCAGATTTGTGTTGGCTTGTCGGTAAATCGAAAGTTTGCGAACGGGATTTTAAACTCGGCGTACCACCCCAATTCATCAATACTGCTTTCAACCCACCAAATTCCTTTCCAGTTGCTGTCGCGTTGGGTGTCCTCATACCGATAATTATCACTCTGAACACCGGCTGGGTTTGTAGCAAATTTATAGCCTGTACGATGATCGTGATGTGGGTCAATGAAGAAAGAGATGACTTCCGAGGCATAGAGGTCGCCGCGCCGCGTCATCCGATTGATGATTTTATTGGGTTCGGCATCGTAACATCGGAATGCGACGTAGAGGTTATGCACATCGTAAGCGATGCGGAATTCTGTGTCGTCAGTTGCGGGATTACCGCGTGCTGGTTCGAGTTGAATGAAACCACTGCGCGGTTCTGCTTGTTGCCATACAGCATCGTCGAGTATCCCGTCAATTTGCGGTGGTTCGCCTACGATTCGGTGAGCTTCAACGACATGCTCACCCATGCCTTCTGGGTGCGCAAAAAGGAGTAGTGGATAGGCAATGAATAGCAGTAGAGCAGCTACGAGTTTTGGCATGCGTTAATTATAGTTGAAATCCTATGTGTTGTCAAATTTGCCTCTCCAAGCTTGCTGTACTCCTGAATGACGACCAATTTGTTGCTTTTCCTTGAAAAAATTGTTGAATTCCTTTAAAATTCTTGAAATGTGGTTAGAATAATGTGCCTGTTCTTTTCCGGTATAGCGGATTCAAAAAAAGGCATGTGAAATCCGAGGTCCACTTAAAGTTGTCCAACGATTAGTCTTCGTAGTATAAAGTGAGTAGCTCGTAATGAAATGGAGAGCGGATTCGAGCAAAGAACGTTAAAGCACAAACTCACGTCATTTAACCGCAAGGAATAATTAAAAAATGGTAGAACTTACACGGGAAGACATTGAATTTTTCAGAAATGAGGGGTACTTGGTGAAACGCAACGTCCTGAACCCGGAATTGATGGAGCGGGCACGGGCAAGACTCTGGGAAGGTGCCCCCGAAGGACGCAGGCGTGAGGATCCTGACACTTGGATAGGACCCTTCACTCCTGAAGAGGAAAATATTGACAAAGACAACAATCGACGAGGTTTCCGGTGGAACTTCCGTGAACCCGGTGGCGAAGATTGGATGGTTCAGCTTCTCGCTACCGATCCAAACGTCTGGCGGATGGCAGAGCATTTTTTGGGTGAGGGGAATTTGGTGCGACCCGACCGTGTGCGCGGTATCTACTGCACCCTACCTTACGGCGATGTCGCGAAGAAGTCGATTGGATGTCATGTCGACGCGCATCCGTTCCATCTTGGGGCTGTTGGCTATATTGACGATGTGCCTCCGGAAGGTGGTGGGTTCACGATCTGGCCACGGAGCCATAAAATCTTCTATTACGATTACCATTCCCAATACAAAAACGAGCCGTCACCGCAATATGACATCGACCGCGAGCGTATCAGCAGAGAGACGGGTGTTGAATGCTACGGGAACGCGGGGGATGTTGTCTTCTGGCACCATCGCATCGGGCATGCTGCGGGACATAACTACTCGCGACAAATCCGGCAGGCAGTCCTATACGACTTTCGGAAAACAGAATTAGAACAAACGCAGGCGGAACCGCCAAACGAGGATATGTGGCGGGATTGGCCCGGCATCAAGGCGTTGGAGTCGGACTTTTAATTTTACCTTGCGGGTCGGTCAGGTGGGTTGATAGTTTCACGTTCTTTTCCGTAGACCCGCCTGCGCCGATGTTGCAGGCTACGTTTATTTCACCGTAAACCTAACTCTTTCAATGTGTTAGCCATCATGTCGTGAGCGATTTGCGCCTTCTCCATCCGCATGTGCGGGAACGTTTCCACCGAGATGTACTTATCGTAACCGACTTTCCCTAAACTCTCTGCAAAGGTTCGGAAATCCAACTCATCTCCTGCTTCCCCCGGAATCAGAAAGGTACTGTAAGGGTACATCCCTGTCACGCCTTTTACATGGCAATGCGTAGTGAGCGGTCCCAGTTTTTCAGTGACTTCGGCAATATCTTCGCCGAGGTGATAGAAATTGGTAATATCATTAAGGAGCCTTAGTGCGTCAGATCCAACGTGTTCAATCAGAAGCGTAACCTTAGAAGAGGCATCGATTGTCGTTGCTTCGTGATTGTGGATGTTCATTGTGATACCGAGTTTTTCGGCGCGTCGGCATATCGGCTTCAGGACATCAACGAGAAGCCGCCATGCGAAGGCATCGCCTTTCTCGCTGCCATACCCAGTGAGGAAATTAACACCACCTGCCCCAAGTGCGACTGCTACGTCTTGAAGAAGGGCGTAATGGTCAACTGCACCTTGCTGGTCCTCCTCTGCCAGTTGGTATAAGCCTTTTCCCGTAAACGGATTAATGACAGAGACCTCTAAGCCACTGTCAGTTACCATCGTTTTGACCTCTTTGAGCAAACCGTCGGTGACTTCGCCAGAGGGGATATGCGCTTCTGGTCCGCACATCATCTCGATTGCATCGTAGCCTGCATCGGCGAGAATAGTGATAACTTCTTGTAAGGGGATGTCTTTCATCCCACCCGCATGATAAGAGATACCAATCACTGTTTAGTCTCCTTCTGTCCTTCGTTTTTTCAATGAATTCAGCGTTCCCTTATAAGAAGCGAACCCTCCTGCGTGGCGCATATCAGTTTTTCGCCGTCTGCTGAAAAAGTCAATTCCCGAATGGCATCTTCCTGAATAGGAAACATGGACACAGGAGTGCCACTACTTATTTCCCACAACTGAATGTAGCTATCTCTCCCGCCGCTTACGAGTAGCTCACCGTCGGTAGAAAATGCCAACGCACTGACTGAGTCGGTATGACCTCTTAATATCGTGAGTAAGTGCTTGTCTTCCAAATTCCAGAGCCGAACAAGTGTGTCCGAACCGCCACTCGCGAGCGTTGTTCCATCCGGTGAAAATGCCAAAGCCAAGACAAGTCCGTCATGTGCCGAGAAGGTGGACAGCAGCCTACCCGTTTCGATGTCCCACAAGCGAATTTTGCCGTCCCCACTTCCACTCGCGAGTGTTGTTCCATCCGATGAAAATGCCAGGCTTCTAATCCGTCCTGGGGCTTCAGTGGAAGAGGCGAGCAACCGTTCTGTGCGCGGGTCCCATCCGGGAAGCGGAACGCCGTCAGGTGAAGATGATGCCAATGCATTCATCAGATTAGAATCCCCAGCCAGAGTTAGCACTTCGCGAGCAGTGGCGGTGTCCCAGAGTCGGAGCGTATTGTCTTCGCTTCCACTGGCAAGCAAAGAGTTATCTGGAGCAAATGCCAATGCCCGCATGTGTTCCGTGTAGCCCGAGAGCATCGCAAATTGCGCCCCACTATCTGTATCGTATATCCAAATACGTCCATCACCACCGGCGGCGAGCCGTGTGCCATCTGGCGAGAAAGTGATAGCCATCACTTGCTTTTTGTCAAACCTTGATTTGAGCCCTTGAGGTAACTCAGATTGGATGCAGTTTTGGAACATTTTAATTTTTCCTTGCGGAGTAAGGAAGGGCATTTGAACTGTTGCATGCGTTCCACCTATCCGTCCTCCATTTCATTACGGACTACGGTTACGAAAATGAAATTATAATTAAGACGCGGAATTCCAATCCAAAACGACACCTGTATACACATTCGGTTCGTTGAGGAGGCCATCGTAAGCCTGTTTAATCTGCTCTGGTTTGAGGCGGTGAGAGATTAAAGGTTCAACGTGCAATTGCCCGCGTGCCATCCAGTCAAAGATCATTTGTTGTTTGCTCCATTGTGAGGTTCGGTTACCGATGTCTGGATACATCGGCACGCACCATTCCAATGCCCCACGAATGGTAATCCATCGCAGATGTGTTTCAGAGAGCAGATCGGTCAGGTTTCCATCAACTCGGACGCGCGGCGAACCGAGGATAATAAGTTGCCCATGATTAGCGGTGGCGCGGAGTGCTTGCATAACAACGCCACTGTGTCCAACAGCATCGACCGTAATGTCCCCAAGTTCACCACCCGTCATTTCCTCAATCTGTGCTTGTGCTTCGTCAGCATTGCCGCCGACGGTATACTTGATTCCACACCGCTGTGCGAGATCCCGCCTCTCTGCTACCGGGTCCACGCCAATCACGCGACATCCATGAATCCGAAACAACTGTGATGCCAAATTTCCAACAAGCCCTAATCCAAAGACAACGACCCACGGGTTCGTCCCAATTTCTCCGACAACAATCGCTGTCATCGCAACGCCTGCCATCCGTGAGGCTGCAACCACAGCTGGATCCACTGCTTCTCTAACGGGCGCGACCAGTCGATCTTGTGAATATCGGATCGTTGAGGCATGCCGTCCGTATGTGAAAACCCGATCGCCGGGGTGCAGCGCGGGTAACACCAGCACCCGACTTCACGCACAATGCCGACATTCGCGTAACCGGAACGCCACGGATATTCACACCATGCTCCCTTCTGGAAGACTTTTGGTTCTCTCCCTGTGTAATTTGCGAGTTCTGTACCGCTACTAATGAAGGTGTATTCTGTGTCTATTAGCAATTCGTTGGAAGCGAGCATTGGCGCGTCTATATCGGCAGTTTGCAGCTCCACTTGGTTCTGACCTGTTACAACAACCTCTCTTATTTTCATGGTGAATCTCCTTCTCCTAATGCCTTTAATTCTTCTGTTTTAATTTTACGGATTAAAGCTTGCATCCGTTTATATCTGAAAAGCCCGAGGAAGAAGGTCGCAATGCCGAGTGAAATAAAGATAATACCGATCGCCTCAACGATATGTGAACTAAAGATCTCTTTGAGATGCACAAAGGATAAGCCTGCGACGAACAACGTTAACGCCGTGCGGATATAGGCGAGAAAGGTTCGCTCATTCGCGAGGATGGTCCGGTCTGCAGCGAGATGATCTCGCAAAATCAGTTGGTTTTCCAGTCCTTTGTAGGGTGTTCGTTTCTCTGGCATTTGTTGTTCCCTTCTACCTAAAAGAGATTCAAAATAATGATGCCGGCAAGCCATCCATAGAAAGTCCGAAGGCACCGTAACCTTTTTGCTGTGCGCTGGTATTCCGCCGTGTAGCACGCGGGATTTTGGAAATAGAGCGTCAATCGTTTTGGCGTGGATAAGTCAATTTTGGGTGTTAACGTGCTCATCACGACGGTACTTATACCGAGAAGCACAATATTGATTATGGGCAAGATGCTAAGAACCGCGCCAAATACTGTCCAACGCCATTTTGAAACACTACGGGATGCGTCAGCCCGTGCTACACGGATCAGCGATGCGGATGGTATTCTTGTTTCTGGAGCCATGCGTGATGTCCGGATTGAAACGCGAGACTTCCTTGCTCCGCTCTTTTATAGTGTGGAAACGCTTTCTGCGCGCAACACGCATTAGTCCTCGTAACGTAGATTTTTCCCGTTGTCGCGACCGCCTTGATGCCAAACCCAGACGTTCCGAAAATATGCCTGTTTTTCTGGAGACAACCCTTCAATCACGTGCTTTGGCACCGATGGTTTGTGAAATTGACACCCGACGAAATTATAACAATTAAAGATGGCTATCCGCGGTCGATTTGGATTTTGCCACGCAACTCCAGAATGACAAAGGTTTTCCGTGAAGATAATGACGGAACCTGGGGGGCAACTGTACGTTTCAAAAAGCGGTGAATCTGTCTGCCGATGCACTTCAGGAATTTGGAAGTTGGCTTTGTGGCTTCCCGGCAGAAATAGTGTGCCACCTTCACCTGCTTCGACTTCGTTCAGTTCAAAGACAACTCGCGTCAGGGCGGAGTATATCTTCCCGTTTCGAGATTGATAGTTGAAGTTGGGATTCACATTTCGCACACCACCATGAGGTGGAGGTCCGCCGTTTCCTGCAGTGCGATAGGTGAACCAACTGGACTCCATCCGAACTTCTCCTAAAATCTCGTGGAGAATATCGATCACTACCGGATGATCGATTAAAAATGATGCCGTGCCTCCTGGAAACTGTCGTTCATGTGGCGGCAAAGATTCAGGATCTGTTCGGATAGTCTCGATTTGTGCTTTCAGTGCCGTGATTTCCGAAGGTTTTAAAACTTCAGGTATTAACAGGTAACCTTTGAGATCGAAGATAAATTTCTGTTCTTCCGTCATAGCAATCCCCTCTGGCAAATTACGCTCCCGGTCATTTTAAGCATTATAGCAAATTTTAGGTTTAATTCAAAACGATTTTTTAAATTGGGCTACATTGCTGTAGTCAAGCAGGAACATCTATTTTCGTTTCTTTAGTCTTATAGCGGGAGACCTCTGTGTAGATGCGCGGATCGCCAAAAATAAAATAAACCTAAAAAGGTAACGAACCTTTGTTTGACACCGATACATGCTGTATGCTATACTAAAAACATGCTACGAGCAGGACTTTTCGGTGTGGCTTGCAAACCGAGAATCGCTGTGGAAAGCATCAACATACTGTTGAACTTTATTTACATAAATGAAATGGAGTAACCAATTTAATGGATTTCAAACAAGCATTAGATAGCAAAATCGCAGATTATAACTTACTCAAGCACCCATTTTACCAAGCATGGAGTGCCGGTGAATTACCAGTTGAAGCCCTACGCTCCTATGCACGTGAGTATGGTGCTTTTATCTCTACACTGCCGGAGGGGTGGGAGACACTCGACGATGCCGAAACCGCAGAGGAAGAGACCGAGCACATCGACTTGTGGGCTGACTTCGCTGCCGGGCTTGACACCGCTGTTGCTGAAGCACAAATTCCACAGGTAAAGGCACTGATGGGGACAGCACACGAACTCTTTTCGGAACCTACGACTGCACTCGGCGCGCTCTATGCATTTGAGGCGCAGCAACCGGCAACTGCTCAATCGAAACTCGCGGGTTTGAAGGCGTTCTATCAGCTCCCGAAATCGGTAGAACCCTATTTTGAAACGCATTCACACAACGAGCATGAAGCGGAAAAACTGCTTGAGCGCATTGGCGCATTGCCATCAGATGCGCATGCCACTGTCGTGCAGGCATGTGGAAAGATGAGTGTTGCCTTGTGGAATGCTCTCACAGGAATTCATGATGCGGAATGCGTATGATACAGTGAAGGCGTATTTCGACGCACTTGTTATTGGTGATGCTGAAACCCTCATTGCAATGATGCTTCCTGCCTCACACTACGTCAAGATCGGCACCGATGCTGACGAGGTTGTTGAGGGAAGCGCAGAAATCGCGGCGTATTACCGAAACCACGTCGCGAGCACGGAGGATTTCAGCATTGAATTTATTAACCTTAACGTGCAGGAACGGGACGATGTCGCTTGGTTCTACACGCGCCAGCTCTGGCGGCTCAAATGGCAAGGTACGCCGGAGGAATTCGTGATGCGGATGACGGGTGTCTTGGAAAAAACTGACGAGTTGTGGGAGTTTGCACAGATCCACGCCTCAGTTGGTGTAAAATCGTAGATCTCCGCTGGTGTGCTGTCATCCAGGGGTAAGACACACCGGTATGCCGTAGAAATTGACAGTTTGGAGTACAAATTATGATTGCACTTTCTAAAGAAATTCAACAAGCAGTCCGAGCGGCTAAGGAAAACCCGGTGCGGCTCATTGATCCAGAAACGCATGTAGAATATGTTGTGCTAACCGCAGAAAAATTTACCCAGATGCAAGCGGAGTGCTGTTATTACGACGACAGCCCGTTTACCGAAGAAGAACAGAATGCTTTGCTAATCGAATTCGGACGTCGCGCGGGTTGGGACGATCCTGAGATGGACATTTACAATGATCTCGCTCCGCGGAGGGAACCATGAATGCCAGACGCGGTGACATAAAAGCCGTGTTAGGCATTCAGTAAACGATGCTATCAATGCCTTTTTGTAACGGAGAAACCCTTGCAAATTTCGGTTGTCTCTTTTGATGGCGACATGACCTTGTGGGATTTCATGAAGGTTATGCGTCATTCACTCAAGCACACATTGACTGAGCTGCAAAGACAGGTTCCAACCGCACGTGTTTTAGAACTTACCGTTGACGAGATGATTGTGATTCGGAATCAATTTGCTGAAGAGGTAAAGGGCAAATTTGGAATCTTGAAGAAATCAGGCTGCGCGCATTTGAGAGAACACTTGAATATGTCGGTTGTCCAGATAAAGAACTTGCGGCGCATCTGAATGCAATATATCTGAAGCATCGGTTCGAAGATGTAGAGTTATATCCAGATGTCATCTCGACTTTTGATGTTCTGGCACCACATTTCAAACTCGGATTGCTCTCAAATGGAAATACCTACCCGGAACGCTGCGGACTTGAAGGGTCATTTCGCCGTTGTTGTCTTTTCCCAAGATGTGAAAATTGAGAAACCATCTCGAAAAATTTTTGAAATAACTGCTCAGCGAGCGGGTTGTGAACTCGCGGAGATGCTTCATGTAGGAGACTCACTTGAGAACGATGTTGCCGGTGCGCGGAACGCTGGCGCGCACTCTGTCTGGCTCAACCGAGAAGGCATACCGAACAACACAGAAACCCAACCCGACTACGAGGTGGCTTCGTTGACTGAAATTCCTGAAATTTTAGGGGTGGGTCGATAGTTTCGTTAGATGCTTCTCTCTTTGACATTGTAAGGTGGCATGTTTATAGAAGTTAAAACTGTATACGTGCCAAAAAACACCTTGCACAATACTACTGCTTTATTGTATCATAGTGAACATGGAGCGCACGAACGGTGTTACGACAAGAAATATCCTAAATATCACGAAGTCGAGTGCGTCTCGACTTGCGCTGGTGGAGAGCAATACGCCAGATGCATTTAAAAAACTCTGTCGAGATTATTGGACTTGGCACTTCGACGAATCGCTGTCTGATGCCGCTCGATTGTTACTAAGCACAGATCTTGGTTGGGAGACAATGGCCCAGCTCACAACACCGCCAGTCGGTGAAGTTATCTCTCCGATCGGTTATGCGCTTGCACACGAGGGTAAGGATGTCCGAGATGCCGCGCTACAGGTATTGGATGCATCCGTTCATATTTCTACGGGGGTGGCTTATATCGGCGAAGAGTGCGCACCGTTGGAAGTGGAGGGATTTAGGATCGGAGTCTATCCTGTAACCAACGCACAGTACCAGCGGTTTCTTCAGGATACAGGACACACGCCGCCTCAGGATTGGACAGACGGAATCTATCCGGCAAATAGGGGCGATCATCCTGTTGTCTGGATCACGTGTGAAGATGCGGATGCGTATGCCCATTATGTCGGAGGCAGGCTACCGACGTTTCCAGAGTGGCAATACGCTGCTCGTGGTGCTGATGATAGACTTTTCCCCTGGGGTTATGAAGTTGACAGACCGCGATGCAACACCGCGGAACTCGGCGCGGGAACGACAACTCCGGTCGTTAGTTTCAGAGACGGTGTCAGTCCGTTCGGTTGTTATGATATGGTTGGCAATGTCTGGGAATGGACGGATACACCTTATGACGATGAAGACAATTTCCGTGTGGCGTGTGGAGGCGCGTGGTATTACAACCATGACTATAGCACCTGCACCAGTTACGATTTTTTTAGCAATGGATATGCAGAGTTTGTAATTGGGTTCCGTATCGCATGGTGATGTTGCTCAGAGGAGCAGAATTTGCTTTGATCGGGAAAGATTGATGAAAGATAACAAAACCAATGCAGAACATGCCTTAACACCTGAAAAATCCTCGGTGTCCTCAAATGGGTTGCAAAAAGAACTCATCCAGCGTGGGCGCGTCGATATTCACGCGCATCAGACCGCTGCTAAGCACTTGAAACAGGGAGCAGATGCATTAAACGTTCGAGACTACGCGAAAGCGATTGAAGAATTTCAGCAGGTAATTCAACATAACAGCGAATCGGCTGAAGCACACTTCCACCTCGGTTTGGCACATTTTATGCTGGGAGACTATGAAAAGGCGATAGATGCATACAAAATGGCGATAGCGTGTGAACCGAGCGAGGCGATGGCATATCTCAATCTCGCAGCAACCTATCGCTTGCTCAAACGCTATGACGAGGCTATTGACGTTTACACGCGTGCCATTCGTTTTATACCGAGCCACCCTGAGTTGCATTCTGAACTTGGGACAGTCTATACATTTCAGGGCAAGCGGCGCGAAGCTGTCAGTGCGTATAAAACAGCGATGCGCCTTAAACTTAAATTGAAATTTCAATCGGATTTTGACCAGGGCGCGTAAGCCCAACCGGGGTCCCGCCCGCGTACGAGCGAGGTAACCTTTAAGAAACACCCAAGCAAAAACCCCTCTACAGGAAGGGGCGGGCCGGCTGAGTCTACGGAAAGGTGCGTTCTCATAAATTACGCCTAAACGAACCGCAAGGAACATTAGAAAGATGTTTGTTTCTGACGAAGATTTGATGGTGAAATGTGGGAAAGGGGACATCAGTGCCTTTGAACTGCTGGTTCGGCGATATCAGAACCCTTTGATTAACTACATTCATCGCTCCATCGAAGATTATCAACGTGCTGAAGATCTCTCTCAAGAGACGTTCCTCCGGGTCTTCAAGAGTGCAAACCGTTACGAACCGACAGCATCGTTCAAAAGTTGGCTCTATACGATTGCTACTAATTTGTGTCGAAATGAGATTCGGAATCGTACGCGTCGAAACACCTGTTTTTTGGAAGATCTGGTTGAAGAAGGCGAGGATGTTTACCATTCTGACATCATGCGGGATACCCGCTATCTGCCAGATGTGCTCTTAGAGAAAAAAGAACAGAGACAGATTATCCGCAAAGCACTCGCACAGTTACCAGAAAATCAGCGCGTGGCGTTAACCCTCGTTACTTATCAAGACTTACGGTATGAAGATGTTGCGAAAATTCTTGGATGCTCCGTAGGTGCTGTGAAAGCGTTGATTCACCGTGCTCGGCAAAAAATGAGAAAACTGCTCATCAAAGCGGGAATAGGGGAGGAGAGTATCAATGCGAAAATATAAACAGACCGAATTCCCAGATGTTTACGGTTCGACGTGTGAAACGCATCTTGCGAGTCCGGACGAACTCTCAGCTTACATTGATAAAGAATTGCCAGCATGGAAACGCCATCTCATCCGACGGCACCTCAACAAGTGTGCTACTTGTGCCAATCAGGTCCAGCGGTTGCAACAAACCGTTGATTTCCTGCGCCGAGGCGGTGAGATCAAAGTCTCTGATGACTTTTTAAGCAGCATAATGGCGCGTGTATCGGAAGCAACGAAATACCCGAGACAATACAACTCGCTTTGGTCCCATGTCACACGGTTCATTGGATCGTCGCTTGGATGGGCGCGACACGGTTCAATATTGGCTGACAAACTCCGCTACAATATTCGGACGCGCAGTCCAGTTTACATATTTGTACTGACCTTCGCTGTTTTTACGATGGTGGGGGCGACGCTTTACCAATCCTCCAGCGATAGGTTTGGACCGTCAGCACACGCCCTGAAGAAATCACAGGAACTGGATGGTGAAAAATTAATTTCCTTTGAGGTTATACAACACGAGCCGCCTAAACGCTTACTAACAACCTACCTTCAGCAGAAGTAAGTTGCATCTTTGGGGGAAGCTTACATATAAGAGTTCTCCTTAGCACACGCGACATTGCTGTCCATACGGAAACATGAAATCTGTAACTCGTAGAGCGTTGCTCATCTCGCTGATATTCCACCTCTTTTTTTTCATTACGACGTTTTACGTCGTGGTGCGGAATCAGCCGATAGCGTCAGAGAAGGCGAGCATGGCTGCGGAACTCATTTCAGTCGAAAATACGTCTCGACCGAGAACTCCATTGAAAAAGGTTTCGCCGCGTTTTCTCGCTTCTGAGCGTGATTTCATAAAGCCTCATGTCAGTACCGGGGAGTCGCCGCCATCTCTCGCATCCCCCGTTACAGTGGACACTGAAACCCCACGTCCTGCCTTAGGTCGCAGTTTGCAAGATGAAGTTAAAGAAGAAAATCCATCGACATCTTTAGATCTGTCGAGAAAAAACTGGGGCGAAGTCAGTACGGCTACCCGTACGCTTCAGGATGTTGATGGAGATTTGTCGAAAACGGAAGCCGCAAGTCCAGCAGGAGATGCTACCTTCGGCGCGAAACGCGCTGGTCCACCAAGAATTCAACGCGCTCCAGAGGTTTCGATCCTTAAAATAGTGGAAGAAGAGGAGGGATTATCCCCAGCGCAGTTGGCGGAAATTCAGGAGAAGCGGAAGGCGTTACCCCATGTTCCATTTTCGACGCTTATGAAAGACACTCGCCCAAGAGATTGTCGAAACCAGTGACGGCGGTCCAATTGACGCGGTCTTCGTCATTGATACCAGCGGGAGTATGCGAGATAATATCAAATCTGTTGTAGAACACTTGAGTGAGATGGTGAACGTATACAAAGCCTCTAAAATAGATTATGCGCTCGGTGTGACGGAATTTTGGGCGAATGAGAACCGGAACAGAATCAGAGTTGTTCAGTTAACAAAAAGTTTCACTGACTACAAACGTACCCTCCAAGCGATTGAGGTACATCAGGACGAAAACGCTTTGGATGCTGTTGTTCAGACTGTCAAAGAACTCCGATTCCGTCCTACATCCAAGAGACATTTCATCCTTGTTACCGATGAGCCTTTCACAAGTCGAGAGGGATTGAGTGTAGAAGACATCATCGCTTACTGTCGGGAATTCGGCATCTATGTGAATGTACTTGGACTTCCTCTGAGTGAACACCAGAGACTTGCTGCTGAAACGGGGGGCAAGTGGCATGTCATTCCTGAAGAACCACAAGTGCAGGTGGCACAACGGTCCAACGTATCGATGCACCCACGAAACAAAGCACTGTCGCTACGGAACGCACAGTGGGTGGATGTCGCAAAAATCGGTAGCAATCTGCTCCAATCCAGCGGTAACGCGCCGGTTGATATTATCCTCTTTGTTGATAGCAGCGAGAGTATGGACGGTAAACTTCCACACTTCCTGAAGCAGCTCGATTTCCTCGTTCGTGACTTGGATAATGCACTTATAGATTATCAGATGGGCGTGGTCCGTTTCCGGTCGCGTGCCTCTGTGAACATTGTCAACGTTTTCAATCCGCCACAAACGCTCAAACAGATTCGGAAAATCGTTGAACTGCCGTGCAAGGAAAATGAGATGTTATTAGATGCCGTGGCGGAAGGGCTGCGACGGATTAAATTCCGCCCAAATGCACAACCCTATTTTATTTTGGTTACAGATGAACCCGCAGAGGGGGCATACTCGTCCCTCGCGATTATCCAAATGTTACAACAAAAACATGTCCTTGTCAGTGTTGTTGGCACTTACGACGATTTCCAACAACGGGTAGCGACCAAAACCGGTGGGGTCTGGGTACCTATTCCAGACGGACACACGACAAACAATTCATATTGGTAAAGGATCAAGATTGAAGATTGCAGTCCTCGTTTCAGGGAGTGGAACCAATCTGCAAACCCTGATTGAGCAGCTACATCAAGATGAAACAAGTGGTATAGACATCGCAACTGTCCTCAGTGATCGGCGCAAGGCTTACGCGCTCACACGAGCGAAGCGTGCTGGTATACCGACACACGTTGTTAGCGTTCAGGATTATGAAAGCCGCCATGATTTTGACGCAGAAATTTCAAGGCTCGTTGAACACTATGCTGTTGAATTGATAGTCCTTGCCGGCTTTATGAAGTTGTTTCAATCTCCCTTCGTGCGGAAGTACGGAACCGGATTATCAATGTCCATCCAACGCTTTTACCGGCATTTCCGGGCGCACATCCTGTCGCTGATACATTGGCATACGGTGTGAAGATTGCGGGTGTCACCGTTCATTTTGTTGATGAGGGTGTAGATTCGGGTCCCATCATAGCGCAGTCGGCTGTTCCTGTTTTGGATACGGACGATGAAGAGAGTTTACACAACCGAATTCAGGTTGAGGAGCATAAACTCTACCCTGAAGTGATTAAATGGTACGCCCAGGGTAGGCTGAAGATTGAGGGACGAAAAGTTATTGTGCAGTAGCCGTCGGAAACCTGCTTCGCAGTGAGAACCGTCAGCCGTCAGCAAAGAAGGTTTTCTAACGCCCTCAGTTTCCTCGGGGTTACAATCGTTTCCGCAAACTGAAAAGATGCTCGCCGATAGTCGATAGTCGATAGTCATTCCCACTAATAACTACTGAAAACTGAAAACTGAAAACTATAAAAAATGTTAGCAATTTCAACAATGTGGAACGCTTTGAAACAACAGGACGGTGCGGCTCTATTCGATGAACTCAAAAACCTTGGCTTTGAGGCACTCGAACTCAGCAGACATCTTACACCGGATCAGGTAGAGCAGCTCAAGCCGTTCCTCCGCGAAAACCCTCCCTGTTCAATCCACAACTTCTGTCCTATTTTACCCCGAACCTCGCAAGTAGAGGCGGAACAGGACAAAATTTTACTTTCCAGTCTCAATACAGACGAACGACAGGAAGCCGTCCGCCGCACCGTCCAAACTATGGAACTCGCTGTTGAATTGGAGGTGACCAATTGTAGTCCTTCACCTCGGCGAAGTTGACACCTACGACAGGTCCTATTTGATGAGGGACCTATACAATTATGGCGAACGCGAGTTTGAAGTCTTCGATCAGAAAGTGACCGAAGCCACCGAGTGGCGGAAACGTAAAGAGATGAGACACCGAGACGCGGTGTTACAGAGTCTTGATGCGCTCAATGAGTGTGCCTTGAAGATGGAACTCTGTATCGCTATTGAGAATCGTCCGCACTACTACCAAATCCCGAATTTCGACGAGGTTGGGTTGTTCTTTGAGGAATTTTATGGCGGTCCGATGCGTTATTGGCACGACATAGGACATGCTGCGCTGCAGGAACGACTCGGCGTGTGCTGGGCAGATAAGTGGATTGAGCAGTATGCAGAACACCTCGTCGGCGTAAACCTACACGATCTGAAGGGGCTTGAGGCGTATCACCCGCCGGGGACCGGGGACTTGGAGTGGGACGAACTCTTTGAGCAGCTCCCGTCGGATGTCTTGAAAGTGTTGGAAATTCGTCCGTGCGAAGCGGAACCGGTGGTAGAGGCACGAGAATTGTGCGAATCCTTTTTTTAATTATACCTTGCGGAGAAACAATTTTTAATTATACCTTGCGGAGAAACAACGCGTCTCTGAACTATCAAGTGCGCCCCTTCACATCCGCACTCCATTACATTACGTGCTAACGTTTTGAGTTTATAGTGCAATCTCATAGATTGACGTTTTGACTCTTAAACAATGTGGCGAGGTTATCAAATCTTTAATTATACCTTGCGGAGAACAACGTGTATCTGAACTATCAAGTGCGCCCCTTCACATGCCCTCAATTTCATTACGTGCTAACGTTTTTGATGTTATGAAGAATGTGGTGGTATCAAACTGATGCTTAGAAAAACACCGAAGGCTACCTACTTTTTCACCGAGGTTGAACACGATATCCTGAAATCTGTGTGCGCGTATATGGTCGGAATTTCAGGCGATACCGCATTGGATACGCCAGTTATTGTGGTTGACACCTTTGTCCAGCAACTGCCCAAAACTTTGCGAAGGCAACTCCGTTTTGGACTTCATTTGTTCCAATGGGGTCCACCTCTATTCATCGGGAAGCCGTGCCGTTTTACGCAACTCGTCCGCGTGATGCAGTGAGATATATCGAAAGTTGGGCAAAGAGCCGTTTCAGGATCCGACGACGGCTTTTCCGGGGCTTACGAGACATCGCTTTTCTCGGTTTTTATAGCAATAAGCCATCGGAAACCATCAGCAGTCAGTAGAATGGTTTCCGTTAGCCATTAGCGGTCAGCAAGAGAATTCATCAAAGACCCTCTTTGCTGACGGTTTCCGATAGCCAATACGCTGACAACCGACAGCCACTCCTCCAGCCGAAAGCCGACGGCTGACAGCCACTCTTTACTTCATTATCAACATTTTTCTGGTAGCCGTGAAGTCGCTTGCGGTGAGTGTGTAAAAATAGATGCCACTTGCGACCGACTCACCCACTTCGTTTTTCCCGTCCCAATACGCCGCACGGCTCCGGTACTGATAGATACCCGCAGCCTGATGTCCGAGTGCTAACGTTCGGACCAATACACCACTCGCCGCATAGATATGTATCGTGACATCCGTGGGTTCCGCGAGTTGGTAAGGTATCCATGTCTCTGGGTTAAACGGATTCGGGTAGTTGTGAAGTAAAGCCGTTTCCTCTGGAATGAACAGAGCCAAAAGTTGCTCAAGGTTTGCGATCCCTTGTCGGAAGGCGATGGAGCCGTCATCTTCAATCTGTGCACGCGCTATCCATGCCTGAATCGTCGCTGGATTTAGTTCCAAACTATCTATAGCAGTGCTGAAAGGTGCAGCCCTCTCGGTTGACTCACCTAAATGTTGGGCCACAGCGATCAGGTCTAAAACGTTAATGGTTCCATCGCTGTTTACGTCAGCTTGGCGGTTCACGGATGCAGCGGAACCCAAGTATTGTGCCACCAGAATTAGATCGAGAACGTTCACTTGACCGTCTTGATTTGTATCCCAAGCAGGGAAAGCACGGTCTTCGACAGTAATGATAATTTCGGGTGCGTCTAAAGGGATTGCCTCGGTGCTGCTGGCTCCAGCATGGAGATTGCTAAGTGTTACTCGTGTTTCTCCGACAGCCTTTGCTGTGAATGTGACCAATAGCAGTGTGCCTGTGCCATTGACACCACCGCTGAGTCGCGCGGAACTTATTTGGGTGATTTTACCCGCTGTGTTATCAATTGTGCCTCGCAAAAAGAAGGTGCCTACACCCTCCGTCTTCAGAAAGTCGCCCTCGCTCACCTCAACCGCTTCAAGTGCATTCGGGTCAAACGTAATATCAGTTTGCCAGCCTGCTAAATCGGTAACCTTTTCTGCACTGAGGCGAAGGGTAAAGGAGTCGCCAGAACGGACAGGCGTTGCATCCGTGGAAAAGGAAAACCCGATATCACTCACATCCGACACATCTGAGGCGGACGGAGTTCCGACAGTAATAGTTATATCAGGGGAACGAGACGGAATAGTCTCACCTCTGCGAGAGCCAGCCTGGAAGTTATCCAGTGTTAATTGGCTTTTGCCGTTTGCGATTGCTGTGAATTTCATTGAGAGCAGCGTGCCTTGCCTGCTCATTTCGCCTTTGGAGAGTTGCGCTGTCTTTAAACCCGTGATTTTACCGGTCGCGTTATCAATTGTGCCTTTTTGGAAGAAGGTGCGTCCGTCTCCCTGCTTCAGAAAATCGCCCTCGCTTACACTATTTGCTTTTAACACAGTCGGATTAAACGTAATATCGGATTGCCACCCCACCAAATCGGTGACATTTTCTGTTTTTAGATGCACAGTGAACGTATCTCTGACTTCAACCTGCGTTGCTTCTGTAGAAAAACTGAAACTGATATTCGGTTCAAACACTTCATACCTTGCGCCGGGTGCGAACCCAAAAAACCCACTAAACCCGCCGTGACCGTGATTGTCGAGTGCGACTAACAAGACATTTTTCCCCTGTTTCAGTGTCGACAGGAAAGAAATCTTGGTAATCGCCAGCCCCACGCGCAACGAGTGCTTTGTGAACCAACTCGCCGTTAATCCAGACTTTGGCGGAATCATCACTCCCGACAAGCATCGTTGTCTGCTGTTCTTCCGGAGAATCTAAGATGACCGAACCGTAAACGATGTGATCGTATATCTCCTCACCTGTTCCCCAACCGAGAGCATCGGTCATTCGGTTTATGTTATCACCATCGGTAGCAGAAATCCTGTGAAGGGTCCAGACACTGTCTCCAACTGCTTTTCCTTCCTTTGCCCCGTTGGTAGCCACCTTCAATTCTGTCGCCGCACCGCCAGTCGCTCGTGACAGAAAATCTGTGCTGTCATCAAGGCGCGTCCCGCGAACTATCGCCCATAACCACGGACCCGTTATTTTCGGACCACCTGCTGGAAAACCCGAATTGCCATCCATCCGGACGAATGTCTTCTCGGGTAATCCGTCTAAAGGTGAAAAGTCGGATATCGCATTGTTGCGGAGATCGAGTCGATCCAAGTTTTTGAACCCTGCAAGGGGTGATACGTCAGATATGACATTGTTCTCAAGGTACAGCACGTTCAATCTTGTTAACTTCGCAAGCGGTGATACATCGGATATGACGTTAGCATCGAGGTTCAGATGTTCCAAGTCTTTTAGGTTGCTCAGTGGCGACACATCCGATATCAAGTTATTAACTAATGATAACCATTGCAGCTGTGTTAATTCTGCCAACGCGGAAAGGTTTGAAATATTACAGCCGTTGATTTCCAGTCGTCTCATGTTTTTAATCCCTTTAGGGAGGAATCTTTGATACAGATCTATCTTCGCCGAATTCTATCCATCGGAGTTTTGGTAACTTTGCCAAGGAGGAGAAGTCCGAGATAGGCGTGTTCCAAGCGGCTATACCTTCCAAACTGCTCAGACTCGCAAGTGGCGATACGTTCGATACAGGATTGCCTGAGATCCCTATCCCATTCAGTTTGATGAGCCCCTTCAGTGGCGATAAATTGGTTATCGAATTCTCCTCCAAACCAAGCCAGTCCACGTTGATTAAGCCTGCGAGTGGTGACACGTCAGTGATTCTGTTCCCTCGCAACTTGATGTTATTCAGTTGTGTTAATCCCGCAAGTGGAGATACGTCAGATATTGCATTATGACGAAATTCTATCCGCTCCAATCTCGTCGCTGCCTCAAGTCCTGTTAGGTTACGAATGCCAGCCTCATCTGCCTCAAGACGCGTCAACCTTGCCATATCTGCCGCTGTAATCAATGCGCCAGCGGGTTTACCGAGTGCCGATTCAACGGCAGCGCGGAGGTTTACGTCAGGAATGGAAACCAAATCGCTGGGTCTCAGATCATCCACCGGCACAACCGGACGCGGTCCAATGTCCTCTGGAGAGTTCAGCGCAGAAACCACTTCAGAAAAGTTAGAGGTCCAGGCATCTCGTTTCACGTTACCGCTCTCACTCTCGAGTGTCCGTAAGCCCAGACGTTGTAAACTCGCCTTTTTACGGATCTGTTCGAGGAGTGCCTCCGTCTCTAAACCGACAGCGGCGGCAACGTGCGCCGCATCCACCGGACCTTCAAACGCCTTATAGAAGCGATACACCGGTTCAATCCCACCAAATACACTCCCTGTCGCTACAAGTGCCTGTCGGTAACGGTCTGTATCCTCACGCACTTTCTCATCCATCACCTCTTTTTCTACATACAAACGCAATGCCTGCACTTTGGCAGGTCCGTCTGGTGCTTTTGTGATAACCTCACGCACTCCATCTTCAAATGTCTTCATCCCTTCTGTGTGGCAACCGATACAAGAGATGCCGTTGCGCACAATGCCGTCTCTCTCATCGGGGTTGGAAACGATGGTTGTCGGTGCCTCATCAATGCGATTCCCCGATGCGTCAGAGATGTAGTATGCCTGCAACCCGTTGGGGAGATTGAACACGATCTCACCACCGTCGTGTCTGAATGTGAGTGGATGGTCAAAGATATTCTGCACACCCACACTCCCCGCAAAATCGTAACTTTTCCAATACGCACCGTGTTGAGATTGGTGGCGTTCGACAACTCGATTGTTTTTTGAGACACCCGAATCGTTGAGACCCGCACGCCAGACGCGAAATCCCGGCGCACTTAGGAGATTTTTTTCGACATCTATCCCCAGGTCTCTCTCCAGTTCATCATCGGTTTCAGGGAGATCCAGAATATCGTGGTAGAGCGGTGGCAGGGAGGCAGTTGCAAGAAACCAGTCAACATGAACGAACGGCACTTCGCACTCCATCTCTTGGCGTAGGTCGGTCAACTTCCGAAGTAAACCGGCTTGCGTTTCTGGATCGAAATCGATACTATACGGATATTCCTGTTCAATCTGCGTCCAGGCATCGTTTCTGACATCCCATTCATAGTTGCGCAGGTCAATATAAAAAATAGTTTTTCTTTCGTCAATGGGTTGGGGTTTGATGATTTCGGATCCCCAAGATAGACTGTTTACGAGTTTTGAAAGTGCGATCTGATAGGCACGAAGGGTTTCTGGACTTTCACCGGCGTTATAGAGATGTGTCAGCGTAAAGTAGCGTGCGGAGGGACGATTAAACCTCGGCAGTGATTGGACATGTTTTTGGATAGTGTCAAGCATTGTGTCCATTGTAATGAAGTTAACATCAT